ATACATACATGCATATATATATATATATATACATATATATACAAACAGATTGTCGTGGAATTTGCAAATCAAACTATCACAGCAAGAAGATCCTTAAAAAATTAAGTATTTGTTTTCATTGGCCTTCATCAAAAAGTTATTTATAATTTTTTATTTGAAGCAGTAATTTTTTAGATATAAGGATTATGGCCAATTAGAGACTATGTTTAGATGCTTACTTATGAGTGTACTGAAGTGAGCGCTTATCAACGCTCACTAACACATGCCGCGCGTCTCATTGACATCAGCCATCTGCTTGAGAAATAAAAATTTACAAATGACTTTTTTACTTAATTTTTCGAAAATTTTCTTGTGATATTTTGGTTTGTGAATTTTGAGACACTCTGTAAATATATATATATATATATACATAATAGAGAATATATATACCTATGCACTCCAATAAATATATATTTATATCTCTTTTATTACCGAATAGCTATATAATTTAAACGGGCTAAGCATTTCAATTTATGCTTACTTTTACCTTGTGGCTAGCTGGTGTTTTGGCTCGAAGTATTTTTTTTCGTTTCGCTCGGCGTCGCAGCGAAATTATTCGTTGGGGAAGATAAAATCGCTTCCTTGAATTGATTACCGTTTAAAGTCGGCTTTTCGCTATTTTCTTGCGTATTGCTGTTACTATTGCTGTTACTACTACTCCCGTCACATTCTGCTATCTTACTGTCAACAGATTTAGACGTTTCTTGGCACTGATTTGTGGTATTGTTCATTAACTCTGCATTTTCATTGTCCTGCCATTCATCCGACCTCTGTATTATACTTTTTTTAATGAGCACTGATTTGAATATTATTAGAGTCTTGCGGAGAGTTATGCAGAAACCTCGAGATGCCGGGATGAGTGGGAATTCGGGTAATACTTTCTGGTCTGTAAATAGAGCAAAAGTTTGTTATCTTATTCCATATAAAATACCATGAAATACCATTCTACATACCAATATTTGCAATTTCTTTAAATGTGGTGGGAGTAACTGGAGATAGCGGATGCTGATTATTATGGTGTTCAGATATCTCCATCCATAGTTCTAATCTTTGCAGCAATTTCTCGGCATGTTTTTTTAAATGTGCAATAATTATATCCTTGAATACAAGTGATGGATGTAACAACAATTTAGTCTGTGCCTGTACCAACTTTAGCACTACCATCTCGTTGTACATCCTCGAGTTCTCGCGTCCTTGTTGTGAACCCTTCTGTTTCTCGAAGCCGGCTTCATTAAAGTATGGTTCACTTACGAGGATCAGACCCTGTATTGAAACTATCACTTGCAACAGAGTAGACGAGCTTGTCCATACCTCTGTACCACGACCAGACCAGGTACCCAGCAGACTCACGCACACCTTCCCGTCCTCATAGAGATTTGGATTCAATCGATCGCTGCAGTAGGAGATATAGTGACAGAGAGGCGGTGCAACTGGATAATCAGCGGATAACTGGAAATCAAAAAGGAAAAGACCATCCTCATAGGGCGTTTTCTCGGGACCACGGAACATTACGGAGTACAGATCTATACGATCCTCAAATCCCTTCACCCAGACACCCGGTGGGAGGGAGCTCTTGAGCAACTTCAATTCTTTAGACACCGTACGAAAGAAGTTGGTCAAATCGGTAGGCTGGAACATGGTCAGCTTGAACTTGTGACTGTCGGGTGCAGTCTCTTCAATGGAAAAGCCCTCGCCTTCGGTGTAAACCGTCGGTGGAATCTCGATAGAGCAGGACGGATCCGTCATCACTTCCAGGCGTTCCTCTTCTTCGCCCTTCTGCTTTTTCCGTGGAGATGAGGTTTTCTCTGCGTCCGACAACGACATTTTTCCCAAACCAAATCTCTTCGACACTTCAGCATGCGCTAATACTAGTTGCGCTTTGATCAGATTACAAAGTTTGACGCATACTTGTGACGTTCCGATGCTCTGAGAAGTCGGTAAACTCGTCGGTACCTTTTTCACTTTGTTTGCTTCCGTCTTCTCGGGTGTGGTCATACCATTTATTGTAGATGAGCATTCTGGTACGTTGTTGACGTCCTCGCTTATAAGAAATTCCCCACTGGACTCGCTCGAGCCTGATTCCTTCTTCGAGTTTTCCGCTGAATATAATCCGGAATCCTCGGGATTGGGATTGGGATATATAAATAATCGATTAACATTCTCTTCGTCAGTCTGTTTTTTGACATTGCTTTCGATACTTGGAGTATTGTCATTCTCCGATTCGTTGATAATTGTGGTAATTTGCTTTTCCTCTACGCTAATTGCACATGAATCATCGCCATTATTTGATTTTTTCAATCCATCATCCTTATCTATGGATTCTTCTGGATATTCAGATTTAGGCGTAAAGAGTCTCGTAACTTGATCTGCCATGCGCTGCGCGACGTTTGCTCTGCCACGTTCTCTCACTCGCTCGAGAAGTCCCTGGAAGTGGCACTCGTGGAAGAACGCGGTACCCATTAATTTATCCATATAACGGCAATCTTTGTAGACCTCGAGGAGTTTTCTCATCACCTCTGTTGTCTGTAGGGATGGGTTTTGTGTAAAAATCTCCTCCAACCTCGACATTGCAATTCTAGCTTTCTCAATGTGTGCGGCTAATTTTGGTTTTATGTTATCCAATTCCGTCTGCTCAGTGCCATCGTTATCTGCGATGAAGCAATCTTCGAGTTCCGTTTCCCACGATGAATCAGATGAGACATCATCCCATAGTTCTCCTTCGTCGCTATCGTACTCGCCGACTTTATACAGATCCTGTGGCCAGCACATGCTAACATGATCGTCAATCCACCATACCTTTACTCGTCCTTCTGGATAATTGTCCAACACTTGACCAGCAGTACATCCAGTGTCTTCACCTTCGAAATTTGCTATTCGAATCACCAGAGTGCCCGGTCTATACTGAAAATCTGGATGGTCCTTCAAATCGTAAACGCTCACTTCTCGTTCCTCCAGGAAGATCGGTCTGAACAGAAAGTAGTTAATAGCAAATTAAAAAAAATATATGTATTTCTATTTTTTTTACATAATAATTTTTTATTTTATTTGTAATGATTAAAATTATGGTTAAATTATAAATTCCAAATACTTAGAAGCCCAGAGAACTCTTGTTCATTTATTTACATTTTTCTATTAATGTACTTGATATTTCATATTCGATCCAATACAAAAGTCTAAATAAATAAAACTATCGTAAAATTCTAAACATATGAAAAAAACTGAAGGTATTTGTACTGCAACACTTACTCTGGATTTTGACTAGAAGTATATGTACGGAACCATTTTATTTTGGCAGTACGGCCCTGATGATCAACACTTTGTACAACGCCATACATTCTAGACTCTTCTTTTTGATCTACAACAAAATCACCTGGAAAAAATTCCTTATCATCCAGGTGATGAATTGGATACAATTGTGTTGATGGTATTCCTAAAAAAGAATAAATGACGTTTAGTATCGCTAGGAAATTTTTTCAGTAACTGAGACTGTTTACTTTTTAATAATATATAAATTAATTGATTTAATAATACACATAAATCAATGATATTGTACGCATTATAAGTTAAAACGTAATTTGGATACATTCTTACGTATTTAAAATAAACAATAATTAAAATAAATCAATGATCCATACCAAATTCTACTGAGCCGTCTTGCCACACCACATTCGCTTTCGTGTTAGTGGACAATGTTTCTACGACTATCTTAGTCCCAGGAATCAATGGAACAGGCGGTATTTTCTTTTTCGCTTTTCGCAATTTCTTTTTCTTCAGCACTTTCGTCATTAATGCAGGACCTTTTTTTTTCTTTCCTGCTGATGACATGCTGGAACAACAGCTAGAGACCTACAAAGCGCACACATTTCTATATCTTCATTTTCCTTTTCTTAAAAAAAGGAAGACAAATGAAAGACATATTACCGAAGTAGAATCACTTTGTGAACCTGTATCTTCCGTATCCCACTCGTCCGAACTTTCAATGTGTTGATTTTGAGGCGGCAGCATCAAAACATTGTTACTTATGGTGTCCTGAGGACGAATGCCATTACTTTGACTGTTTTCTTCCGTCGGTTGATCGGACGTTTTATCCTTTTTTTGTTCCTTCTTTTTATCTTCCATCAGCTTCGTCACTGTGATATTTGGACGTGTCTTCTTTGGACTTTGCTTAGGAACTTGATAAATATCCCTCTGTTGCTTTCGCCATTGCTCACGAGTAATAACATTTTCGTTACCCTTAATGATGTAGAAGTTACGATTGCCGACCTGTACTGTTGAGGGTTCAAATACATTTAACAGTTTTATTTTTTTCAAATCTTCACCCTCAACCACGAACTTCGGTTGAACCTGATCGGACCAGCCGTCTTTTGAATATGCCCGGCACTGCCAATGCACGCCTATCCAATCAGTCTCCACTTTTTCCACAATCACTTTGGTTATTTTTTGTGGTTTTAATTTCCTCTTCGCCTTCATCTCTTTTGTGCACTGAAGCCACTGAGCATCCTCCAAGCAGTGAACCGGTCCCCATAGGCTCTGACCAGGATAGAATTCAGTCGGATGTGGAAAATCATTGTCCTAAAACATACTTATTGTTTGGATCCTATATGAATGATAAAATAGTTCAATCTTACGCTGTCTCGCGCCTCTTCCAATTGTCCCAATACACAGGAATCCATCTCGTTTATAACACAGTGAGATCCGTCTGGTGTTACCAACCATAATTTGAAATGTGTCATTCTAATGCCACCGACCCAAGAATCCAGGCACACTGCCATATCTGTCGCAAATTCCTACAAATAACTGTGTGTTTCAGTATATAAATAATGTATAATCATCTACCATAGATAGAGATATTGATATACCTGCAATGGAATCAGGTCTTCGCTCTTGATATCTGTGAGAACCTGTTTGGTACCGATGACCTGAACACAGGCTGTCAGCTCTACATCCCGGCAGTAACCTCTTTGTGTATCCTTTCCTTTGATCATTCTACGTACCACATCTCCAGGCATGAGTGTCCTATCAGCCAAATGAACCTAGAAGACATCATAAAAATCTCTGAATACAAAGCTGCTTAAATGTCATTGATTTAAAATCCTAATGCAAACCAATACAAACAGAGGTCAAGTGACAGGTGCAAAAGGTATAGGTCAAAAAACCAAAAAGAAACATTGAAATGCATTGGGACAGTAACAATCACTGGATTGCAGCAAGATCCAGTCACATCACCAGAGATGCCATGTAGATACCTTTTTGCAGTTGACCAACTCCTCGACACCGGACGGATGCCAAATCATGCGGATCTCGCCCTTCTTGCGTTTTGGCAAGGTCTCCTCGTTGTCACTGCTCTCGTCGGACAGGTCCAGGTCGTCGTTCTCCATGACGATGCCGAAGACGACATTGCCCCGTTTGTCCATGCGGTAGACGACATCCTCGTAGAAGTACTGATTCTCCGGTGCAACGTTCGTCGCGGCAGCCATTTTTCGTGCCCTGCCTGATGACGACGGCACTGTTCCTGCCTTACTCCCGCTGATCACCGCTGATTCTCGGACCTCCGTATTCCTGGCAACCGTCGATGGCCGAGCCCGGCGCTCACCAGCGCCAGAGAGAAATCTGATGGAGCGGCCATCGAGCCATCCCGATCTTTTTTGTGAAACGCTCGAAATTCCCCGTACACTAGCGCCAGTACATTTATTTTCGAATTGGATACTACGTAGCTACGTCGAAAATATAGATGTGGTGCGAATCCGTGCTAAATTAGTGTAGGATCGAACACTATGCTAAATCGCAATGTCAAAATTCGATGTGATGATCACGTTCAGCTACCAATCCCATGGTAACGTCTTATATTAAAAATACGCGAGAGCACGCTTAAATGTCAAAATTCGATGTGGTGATCACGTTCAGCTACCAATCCCATGGTAACGTCTTATATTAAAAATACGCGAGAGCACGCTTTTGCGAATTCGGTGGAAACTGGACTATTCATATCTGTAGCTGTTTTCAAGTTAAACGCATCTAGACCTTCCTACGCTATGATTGTCAGTTACGTACTATTTAACTAGTTTAATCGATCCACAATTCGTTTAACTATCATTTGTCTATGCTGCTCCTACTGCAATTAAAATATGATTGATACCACACTGGTACGTATACATGTATAAAAAAATAAAAATGTAATTAAATGTAAAAAGTCTATATTATCTATTAATATTAAATAACTATTGATAATTAGTAAATATCAATGATATAAAGCAAAAATGATTTGATTTTGTATATTTTTAAAATTACATTTTATTTTAAAATAGAACTTATACATTCATAGTATCTCTGAATCTTTGACTATTAAATTAAAGGAACATGATCGTTATTGATAATAAATAATGTATTCTATGTATTCTATGTACATACAAGATTAGTAATAAGGTAGATTTAAATACAAAAAATATGAAAAAAAATGTAAAGCATCAACAAAATTATAATTTTTGTAACTTAGTTGTAAATAATTTTTTTTGATTTTATTGAGTTCTTTGGTTTCAGATTTTAACAAAAATATTAAATAATATTAGGAAGATACAAAGGTATAGTAACATTCCCTTTTTCTATAAAGTTAAATAATTCTATATTGTGTATGTATATATATATATATATAATATGTATTGCGTAAATTGTAACTTATGCAAAATTACGTGATAAGAATCGAAAGTATGTACAATTTGTCAGA